CTAAGACAGCCGGGCTCGAAGAGCGCGACACCGACGTTCAAGGCTCTAGGTTAGGGGGGTCTGAAATGGCAAGCCGGAATCTAAAATGCCTCTTTAAGACCCATTTCAGACCCCTGGTTCCCTGAAGGGTCATTTAAGACCCCCCGCAAACTGAGGGAAAAAGCCCTGTAACCTGCAAGCTCTCAACCCTAAACCCGAAGCCCTCCGATGCCGTCTGACATGTCTGAACGGAAGTTGTGGACAAAAACGCTCGGGGCTTGGGGCTTTTGGGCCCCGGACCAGGCCTTGGGCCTTGTTCGAGTGCTTGGCGGGAATTTAACTTCGGAGCACTCCGTAGCACTCCGGGCCTTGGCTCCCTCAGCACCGATCTCGTTGCCAGCGAGGTAGATTGTGGAGACGCTGCCGTTCGTCTTGAGGGCCTCGGCTAAGGCCTGCGGCGAGGGGATGGTGCAGGTCCGCAGCTGGCGGCTTTGGGGGAGCACGCGGGGCCGCCTTTATATCGGCTTGGGGCTGGCCAGGGGCTGTTGTATGGGGCTTCCGGAACCCCCAGCTATTCCGGGGAGCGATCTGCTGCTGCAATCAGAATTCCAAATCTACGCCATGCCCTTGCTACATCTGGTCACAAACCTGAAAAAGAATTCTACACTCGAAGGCAATACGTCGTCTACGAAGCTCAACTACAGTACGAAGTAGCAACGTTTAGCAGCACACATGAGAAGAAGGATTACAGCAACATGAAGGAGCAATACACCAACAAAACTGGTAAAGCGCAGCATTCTGGCCTGAATTCACTTCAGGCCTCGATGTGGAAGAATGTGCGATCTCAGGTTTATGCATGGGACGAACCGTGACATCGCGAAGGCGCAACTTGCCAATCAACGGGCTTAATTTCGCGTAATTCTGTTCTGAAACATGATGGTCTTCAAGGCTGCTCAGCCTTCCTTCACACGCTTTCGGGTGCCACAACTAGCTTTGCACCAGCTTTGCGCACCAATGGCCTTGGGGCGCGTTCCGGGAGGCCATCGCTTCCGCTATGTCAGTTCCTGACGATGCCTTCTAAGAAGCGTGATTGTCCCGAGAGTTGTACATACGGTTGTCATCGAAGTCCCTCGACTACACCCTCCCGTAATATCCCGTACACCGTACTCTTTCTGCCATATTGACCATATTGCCTGCGAGTGGAGTATGTGGGCGGAGGGGCGAGGTGGTCCCGCGAAATATGCGGGACTACTTCCATGGACCACAGTGCTTCTGGTCAGAGTCAACGATGATTCCATCGCTAAACAAAATGCGCGAGCCCAGAAACAGCATCCCCTCAGGTTGTCAGGGGGCCTAGGGCGCCCATTTTAGACCCCTAACTGTGCTACTTCCCACAGACTGGGCATAATCCGGGCCCATTTCAGACCTTTTGTTGGCTATAAAGACTGCATCTGCAACATGGCTAAGACAGCCGGGCTCGAAGAGCGCGACACCGACGTTCAAGGCTCTAGGTTAGGGGGGTCTGAAATGGCAAGCCGGAATCTAAAATGCCTCTTTAAGACCCATTTCAGACCCCTGGTTCCCTGAAGGGTCATTTAAGACCCCCCGCAAACTGAGGGGATGAAAAAGCCCTGTAACCTGCAAGCTCTCAACCCTAAACCCGAAGCCCTCCGATGCCGTCTGACATGTCTGAACGGAAGTTGTGGACAAAAACGCTCGGGGCTTTGGGCTTTTGGGCCCCGGACCAGGCCTTGGGCCTTGTTCGAGTGCTTGGCGGGAGTTTAACTTCGGAGCACTCCGTAGCACTCCGGGCCTTGGCTCCCTCAGCACCGATCTTGTTGCTATCGAGGTCGATACGGGTGACGCTGCCGTTCGTCTTGAGGGCCTCGGCTAAGGCCTGCGGCGAGGGGATGGTGCAGGTCCGCAGCTGGCGGCTTTGGGGGAGCACGCGGGGCCGCCTTTATATCGGCTTGGGGCTGGCCAGGGGCTGTTGTATGGGGCTTCCGGAACCCCCAGCTATTCCGGGGAGCGATCTGCTGCTGCAATCAGAATTCCAAATCTACGCCATGCCCTTGCTACATCTGGTCACAAACCTGAAAAAGAATTCTACACTCGAAGGCAATACGTCGTCTACGAAGATCAACTACAGTACGAAGTGCAACGTTTAGCAGCACACATGAGAAGAAGGATTACAGCAACATGAAGGAGCAATACACCAACAAAACTGGTAAAGCGCAGCATTCTGGCCTGAATTCACTTCAGGCCTCGATGTGGAAGAATGTGCGATCTCAGGCTTATGCATGGGACAAATCGTGACTTCGCGAAGGCGCAACTTGCCAATCAACGGGCTCAATTTCGCGTAATTCTGTTCTGAAACATGATGGTCTTCAAGGCTGCTCAGCCTTCCTTCACACGCTTTCGGGTGCCACAACTAGCTTTGCACCAGCTGTGCGCACCAATGGCCTTGGGGCGCGTTCCGGGAGGCCATCGCTTCCGCTATGTCAGTTCCTGACGATGCCTTCTAAGAAGTGTGATGGTCCCTAGAGTTGTACATACGACTGTCATCGAAGTCCCTCGACTACACCCTCCCGTAATATCCCGTACACCGTACTCTTTCTGCCATATTGCCTGCGAGTGGAGTATGTGGGCGGAGGGGCGAGGTGGTCCCGCGAAATATGCGGGACTATTTCCATGGACCACAGTGCTTCTGGTCCGAGCCCACAGACGATGATTCCATCGCTAAACAAAATGCGCGAGCCCAGAAAAGCACTGTAAACCTGCAAACTCTCAACCCTAAACCCTGAGCCTAAACCCTGAAGCCTAAACCCGAAGCCCACCGACGCCGTCTGACATGTTTGAAAGGAAGTTGTGGAAAAACGCTCGGGGCTGGGGCTTTTGGGCCCCGGACCAGGCCTTGGGCTTTGCGAGTGCTTGGAGGGACTTAGCTTCGGAGCCCTCCGCAGCACTCCGGGCCTTGGCTCCCTCAGCACCGATCTGGTTGTAACTGAGGACGATAAGGGTGACGCTGCCGTTCGTCTTGAGGGCCTCGGCTAAGGCCTGCGGCGAGGGGATGGTGCAGGTCTTGCCCCGAACCGAGCGCGGAGAAAAACAAGCTTCTTTTCGCGAGCGAAATGACATGGAGAGTTTGCTTGTGAGACAAACATACAACGCGCACATGCTGAGATCTGTGCGCTGGAAGCACACACACACACAAGCTTGATGAGACACAAGATACCCCTGTGGCGAGACTTGTGCGCTAGCACGTAGAAGCTTGAGATACAGGAGACATGTTGATGGCCGCACGGGCAAAAATGGGGAAGCAGCGAGATGACATTAAGAATTTGTTCGCGAGACCAGATACCCACGTGCCGAGATTGTTTCGCCAGAAGCCATACAAGCTTGGGATACAAGAGACATCTCGGCTGTTGCACGGTAAGTTTACGTGCTGCGCCCCGAAACCAGCACGGAGAAAAACAGGTTTTTTCTGCAAATGTTTGACATGCCAAATCTCCGTGCCCAGATTTGTGCGCCAGACGCTCGCACAAGCTTGAGACACAAAATTTACCGCACTTGCCCCGAACCTAGCATGGAAAGATAGTCTTTTCTCCGCACTTGAGGTGACGCTGAGACTTTTGTTGGCAAGACAAGACACCCACGATCACCCACGTGCCGAGAGCTGTGTGCCAGAAGCAAACCTGCGGCTGTTGCAGGCTGGAAGCAGGAGGTTGGAGGCCCTGCGTGAAAGCAGCAGCTGATGCGACATTGAACAGACCAATACCCTGAGGTTCTTTTTGGGCGATAGCGTGCCGCGGCAGGAATGATGAATTTTTGCCACCGCGGCAAGAATGATTCTTGCCGTGGCTCGGCAAAAAAACGTGAGTGTTGCCGCCGCGTGGTAAAACAGTTTCAGGCCACACGGTTGGATTCATGCAAAGAATCTGATGAACGTAAGCTTGCTGCACGCCAGGGTACTTTCAAAGGTATACTTGCTCGCTGGTTGTTGTGCTTGACCATCGTTATTGAGTCTGTCAGGGAGGAGTGCTCTGGGCTTGTTTTGCCGTCACCTATGCCTTAAGCTGAACCTCCTGGCAATCAATGCAGCAAAAATGCATAACAGAGTAAGGCAAAGCTGTTTCAGGTTAGGTCTCAGGAGGTCTCAGCGTGACCGACGCCGTGTGGTCTGGTTCGTGCCCTTGCTCAGTGCGGGTGGGTGAATCAACCACTGCACACGGGTGCGTTGACAATGGCGGGGTCTGAAATTACAGAGTGGACTCTGTGGAGGATGGATGCCGCCGGAAGTATGATAGCGGCAAAGCTTGTCTGTAGGACCCGGTGTGTCATGGGCCGAAAGACACCCACGGGGGTGACCATGTAAACCCTAATAATTCCCCATTGTCACCACTGGCACCGCTTCGCTGATCTGTTTCCAACCTGATGCCCTAACAGATTTCGGCTCAGTCTGTTCTTTCGGTCTCAGCGATCGAAAAAGCATGAGCAGCTTTTGTTCAGCACAAACGACATGCCACCTCCGCCCCCCTTCCCGGAATTCGTTCACGCCGTTTGCCCTTTCTCTTCGAATTTCACATTTTCTGAGGTTTCGAGAATCAAGGGTCGCTATATTTGAGTCACGCGTGCTGTGTTTGGGCATGTGCACAAGCATCCCGACTTGCTGGAAAGAAAAGTTGTTGAACCACCCTCCCAGCGTTGGTAAGCGGATGGGCTCTCCTATAAATGTCGGGCCAATCAATGCCGGATGTCGACCAAAACTGAAGTGGATCGCGCTGCTGTCTCTTTTAAGACAATGATCCCGACAGTCGGATGTCGTATCCCAGGAGCCTCAGGCTCCTCGCAGTGTAGCCTATGGCTGCACGGTCGCAACTACGTAACTTAGTCCTGAAAAGGATTTGAGGCCAAAGGAGCTCCTGGGATCAAGAACACTTCATGCACACACCTGAAGAGTGGAGCAATACACATATGGACATGTCCTCTGACATGCCCCAGGAAAAGGCTGACGAAGCTCTTCAGTGTGTGCGGAAAACAAAATCGAGGAGAAAAGTCGAGTTTCCCTCTTCTTCCTCATGGATCATCTGTCTTCTTTTCTTTGCTGACACATAGGCACCATCGTACCTAATACGCCACATTCCACTGGACAAGAATCTTTTGAGAACATCCTGCTTACTAGCTTTCGTGAGACCATCAGCAAGTTGGTGATCAGAATCGCACCATAGCAGAGTGGTTTGTTGGGCCTCCAAGTGCTGACTCCGAGCCAACAACTCCAGTCCCGTGTACTTGTCTTTCTGGCTCGCCGCCAGGACTCCTTTGGAAAGGGTATCAAACATAGCTTTGGCGTCCACTACCAAGTAGCCCTGCATGCGCTTGGAAACTTCCTCGGGTTTGGTGGCTCCTAGGTCGTCTCCCATCATTTCTCGCCACTCCGAACGAGCGTAGAAAAGTTCTTGCTCGGCATCGGCTAATGCCTGAGATTCTGCCGAGAGGCTTGATCTCGCTACTCTGCGCAGTTTGCCACTACGCCAGGATACTGGGTTGACGCGGCCCATGCCATCTTGAATGGCCTTTTTGCTCATTAGGGCAATGAGGTATCCCCCTGTAGAAGAGAAATCTGGACGATTTGCAAGTGAAGCGTCGCTCCAGCCGATCATGCAGAGGTCATCGGGATTGTCGGCTCCCAATGCTTGCACCTGGCACGACAAACTCCTGGCAGCAAAAACCTCACGCACCAATTTATTTACTTGCTCTACCATGCTTGAGTCTTGAACAGCCACCAGACTTTGGAGATAATTCAGTTTGGCTGCGTGTTGTGGAGCGCTTTGGTACACGCGCCACTGAATAGATCCCAGAATCGCACGAACTTGACTCAGTTCTTCAGGATGAAGCTTGCGAGTCTCCTTGATGGGAGTCATTTGCTTAAGCTCAGAACAGAACGATGAGTGATCAATGGACACGGAAAAGTCTGGATGTTGCACTATCTGCACTCCACAGTGTTTGAAGGCTCCATACTCCCACGGCGACCATTCGTAGGCACCCTTGAAGCCCTGGAGGAAATTGGACCATGCCTGCGAAGACGTGTCTCCACATCAAAAAATCGTCTACGTGAGACGATACGAGACCCACCACAGCACCTGCGGCGTCTCTGATGCGCCACACGCAGCTGTCGGTTGTCAAACGCTCGGCACCTAGTGACAACAAAGTACGATGAACATCTTCATACCACTCTCTCGGAGCTGATACCAATCCATAGCAACTCTTCAACAATTGGACTTGAGGCCCAAAGCCTCACTGAGTTCGGGAACTGGAGTGGCATACACTCCACGATCTTTTTGAGGAGATTTCGCCTGCAAGAATGCGCTTTTGACATCCCCACACACGATTTGCCATCTCTTCACGGAAGCCATGTTCAATAGTAATTGCCTGTGGAAAGTCTTGACATTGCCGGACTCACGGAGGAGGCATCCAGAAGATGAGGATCGCTGTATCCTAGGATTACGATGCGAGCCTTCGCTTTTACGCAATCTTGGGAAGGAGGTGTACCTTGCACAGCATCTGCCTCGGAGCTGCTTTTGAAGGTGAGAACCCACCGCATTCTGAGCAGCTCCTTCTGAGGGACGAATTTCTTGGCAGCTTTCACCGCCATAGTCTTCATCCAGTTGTCCACCTCAAGAGCCTTGGCGGAGTCCATAGCAACTTTCTGCTCACTATTGAGTTTGGCATAGCTGATCTCCACGCCCTTTTGCACACTTTTGGCTATGAATTTCTTTGGATTTTTTACAATACTCTTCCACTCTTGGTCACTGCTTGGAGCGGGAAGAGTGACCGCAAAGGCTGTGGAGAGATGGTCCTCGTTACCATCTTCGAAGTTCTCAACCTGGAAGATGCAGTCATGTGGTCGGTCCTCAGATAGCACGACAAAGGATTCGGGAAAGTACTTGGGATCATGCATGAAGCGCGCCATGTCTAACTCATCCGAGGAAGAGGAAGCCAAATGAGCTGTTGAAGCTGAGGAAGCCTGTGGAACGGGGATCAGCTCCATTTCTTCATCTTCCGCGACTGCAGGTGCATCACGCTTACGACCTGAAACATGGGGAACCGGAATCAGCTCTTGTTCATCATCAGATGGAACAGGCACATCTTGAGCAGCTGGCACTGGAACAGCAGGCTCTTGATCATCGGTGCGACGTCGGATCGGAGGCTGAGATCTCGATCGGGCGGGAGTGCGAGATCTCTCCCTCGGATTGTCTGGCCTCACACATTTTCGTCATCATATGCGAAAGTCCAAGGAAAAGTTAGGCCTGTCGCTCCTTCAGCCACGAGCCGCTCAGTCTCGGAGGCATGACGAACCTGGGAATGATGAAACTTTTTCAGTCTGCCATTCGCCACCACCCAAACGATGGTCCCAGGACGTCGAACTCCATCCACATGATCAACCCTTGTTTCAGTGGCTAGGACCCGAGCAGGACCATAAAAGCGAGCGATGTTCATCCTGGGTCGATCAATGACCGCGTTTGCTGGGCTGTCCTGCGGCACTTGAAAACGCTGGTAAAAGATCAGATCTCCTGGAAGAAACTGCTTTGCAGGCCTTGTCTTGCTGTTGCTTGCTCTGGACAGCAACTCCTTTTGGCGGTACTCCAAGAAAGCCTTCTCGGCCCTGGTCCGGAGTTGAAGAGTCTCATGCATGCTGTGAGTGGGATCGGCCATTGCACTACGAGCACACACTTCTCCCTCACGCTCTCGACTGTGGGCGGTGACCGTCACATCTCGTCCAAACGCCCACTGAATCGGCGACCAACCTGAGGAGCGAGCTAGTGAGTTGTGGGCTGCCACCATTTGCGCAGCTGCTCTCGTAGGATGGCACTGTTCTGCACGCATGAAGGTCTCGATATTTCGCCTAATGGTCCCGATCGAGCGCTCGACCTCGGAGATCCCTTCGTGGTACTCGGCAGGCACGAAGTGAAGTTCCACATCTCGAGAAGCGCAGTAGTTGGCTAGGTCTAAGCCTCTGAACGCACCCTCAGGGTCCAGCTTGATCCTTTCGGGGAAGCCAAACATCTGACACCATCGCAGCTCCACCACCTTGCACACTTGAGCAGTGGTCATCTGCCGCATCTCTTGGTCAGAATGTCGCAACATCTCTTCTATCACACAGAACCCCGAGGCCTCATCAACCATCAAGAGATAATGGAAGACCTCACCACCAATGCACATGTAGAACCCATCAATTTGGAGAGTACACCACAAACGATCTTCACGATGTAAGGTCACTGCAGGAGTCGATGATCGGATTTGATTTTCCAAACAAACATCACACTTGTACTCGGCGGCCACAGCTTGAAGCTTGTCGGAGGCTCCTCGAGCACGCAAGTTCTTAAGAAGGAGACTGTTCGGGGGATGCCCAAACTTTCGATGCAACTTCTGGACCGTATCCAGCAATGCTTCCAGTTCAGTCTTTGTGATCCCTTGCAGGCATTCCTTCTTCGCAGTGAGAGCAAAACATGCCCAGGCTGGTCCGCCCTCTGAAGCGATCCATGAACCTGCATCATGCATGACGAAATGCTCTGGTGTAAACGACTAAGTGGATCACGCTCATGGTCCTTGGAAGGTGAAGGTCGTGAGCGTTCCATGTACATCACCTTGGAAGATGTTCGGATGAGAAATTGACCGCACTGCCATTCAAAAGCTCGCCCCTCGTCTGCCAAGGTCTGCCAGATCGCACACGCATCACGGTGTCGTCATGGCAACCGAGAGCGCTCGGACTGTGGAGCCGAAGGCAACTCCAGCGGGCGAACCCAAGAACAAGGTCAAGGCCAAGAAGAAGGGAGTGGTGGAGGCTCCAGCCCTCGACTACGACAGAGCTCAGGCCTTCGATCGCCGCGATACACGGGCGACCGGGCCGCCGTGCAGTGGACAACACCAGGTGAAGAACCATGCGAATCAGCACGCGGCTTGCAGCGTCTGCATGAGATGCGGCCTACGCCTTCAATACGTCCCTCGAGTGGGGAGGACCGGACTGCATCGCTCAGCGGGACCTTTGGTCACGGACGTGGAGTCCGTGCTCAAGAAGGTGGCTTCCGAGGAGCCTTTGGAGTACAATCCTCGCCTGCGCGACCAGACGATGGCCATCCAGGCGGCAGAAGTGAGTGCGGTGAAGCAGCTGGAGCAGATCCGGGCGCAGAAGGACAAGCTGTTGCCGCCCAAGACGACGTCCGGGATGGAGAACGCTGGAGCAGGAGCTTCAGCCAGCACCGCTCCGAAATCCCCGAGCTCCGTGATCCACATTCCCGATACCGAGACCATGACAGCCACTCCTGGGAACAAGCGACACCAGGGTCAATCAGCGGAGGAGCAAGAGTATGCGATGCGGAACCAGACGGAGTCATGAGTGCCTCGTCAGCGCAGGAGATTTTGCAGCTCGAAGCTCTAGCAGCCTCAATGCACAAACAGAGGGCTTTTTCCTTTGAGCAGTGTGAAGAGCTTCTTACGCAGCTAGCGGCTGCGCGAGAGGCCCAGACTACCACCAAACGACAGGCCATCGATGTCGGAAAGAGTGGCAGCTACATCGTGTTTGGTCTGTTTTCGCATGGATCCACGTCGGGTACGACTCGCAAGACTCATGAGCTCCCCGAACTATGTCGCTACCTTAGCCTTTTCGGTCAGCATCACCTAGGTGGAGCAAAGACAACTTGGACTAGCTGCGCAATCAACCTTAACCAACCTGCTCGGGTCCACATGGACCCCAACAATTGCCCCCACACAAGCAACTACACATGTGCTTTTGGACCTTTCCATGGAGGTGAACTGTGGGTAGGGATGACAGACGATTGTGAACCTAGTCAGCTCCCGGCGCGATGGAAATCCAAGCATAACGGTCAACGTGCGCCAGGACATTTTCACTCCACTTGGCATCAGTTCGTGCAGTTCAACCCCAAGTGTTTCCATGCTACCGACCGCTGGACAGGACTTCGCATCTCGGTGACCTTCTACACCTCAAGGCTTATTACTCAGGCCAGTGACCTCCAGAGAAATAGTTTGCGCAATCATGGATTTCCTGTCCCCAGGGCTTCGGTTCATGCGCGACGCTATGCCGTCGAGGACGCTTGTCAGGCTGTTGAACCAGATGACAGTGATGAGTGCATCGTGACGCTCACCCAGGAAGATCGACAACATCTCGAAGAGTCTTGTAAGGAGGTCTGGGCCGAAGTCGATCAGTTGATTGGTGGACATGGACATGATGCACAACCTGTTCAGGTCATGGAGTTTGGAGGTCCTGCTGACAGTCCTCTTTGTAACCATCTACGTCACCAAGGTGGGAAAGCAATGTCAGCTAGTTTGTTGCAGGGTTATGACTTGGGCAGTCGTGGAGGTTGCCATCGGTCACGACTCCAAATTGAAACCCTTCGACCGCGCGTTGCATGGTTCCAAGTGCCGAGGGGAACCTCGAAGTCAGAAGCTCAACCTTGTGCTTCCTCATCTCATTCAGCCTCACAACGCTTCAAGAAGGTGATCCAGAATATCGTTGCCTTGTCCCAGGTCCAGCTGCATCATGGAGAATGCGTTTGGATCTCGGATAAGAGTTCGTTAGCGTGGAGAAGACGGAGGATTTGGAGGGGGTCCTCGGAAACAGAGTCCTCAGGCACCCTGGACGCTCCTATCGATCCTCGAGAGTGAAAAAGGACTGCGGGAGGTTCTGTGGGAACATCTGGCGCTGCAACATCAGGTAACTCTTCTGCCACCGTGAAGACTGCACCAACCCCATTGGACTCAATCTGTGCTTCTGTTTCCCTTCTAGATAGGCGAACTGGCCGTCCGGCGGGATCCAGGGCTGCAAACACGGCTGTGTCCTGGTCGAAGTCTATGACCGCCCGTAGGGATCTCAGTGTCCTGATTCCAATGAGGACCGGTACTTTTTGCACGTCAAGTGCGTAAACTCCCAAATCGACCCGCACATCCCCGAGATCTTGAGGCAGGAGAACGTGGGACACGGAAAAACCTAACGCGCCGTTTCCAAAACGAAATCATCTAGGAGGTACATCAGAGACACGAATTGCATCGGCATGTCCATGAATCTCATATCGAGCAGACATCAGGTCCTCAAGCGCCGGCAAAGAGCCGACTGTCTCCGTAGCGCCTGAGTCGATGACTGCGTGAGATCTCATGTCTATCTCACCAGCCACTGCGCCCATCAGAGGAATTTCATTCTCAGTTGAGGCACTGGATGTCAAGACACATATGGAAGAAAGGTCAAACATGCAGTGGTCCTGAACGAAATCTGAGTCTAACTCTTCTTTGGAAAAACGAAGGTCTAAGCCCCGTCCTTGGCGTCCAAATCCCAGCAGTTGCAGAGATGTCTGAGTCGAAGCATGATCATTCTGGAGGTTCTTAGGGGCATCGTTCTTGGAGCACATTGCCGACACATTCATCACGTGGAGGCCCTCAGAGTTCTTGGCAGTGGGATTCTCGCTGAGGCGGGTGAGGTCATTCGATATCTGGGCGTCCGTGAGGGAAGAGGAAGCATGGTCATCGCAGGGCTGCAGGGAGTCGCTCTCGTGAACCATGAACACGGACTCGGTCCAGAAGCTACGCCCAGTCGTGCCCTTGCTTTTGGAGGAACCCTTGCTTGCGGAACTGTTCCTTTTAGGACACTCTCTCCACGAATGCTCTCTGGAACCACACACGAAGCAGCCCGAGTATTGGGGATCACCAGGTTGCGCAAAGATTTCTGCAGTGGCTGCAAGAACTGGAGAAGCTGAGGACTTAGAGAAAGACTTGCCCTTGCCCTTGCCCTTTGATTTGCCGCGACCCTTACCCTTGCCTTTGCTCGCTGGATTGAACGGATAAAATCTCGTGACAAGTTGCGAGCTTTGATTGCTTGGCGAGCTTGGGTGAAGGTGCGAGCTTTGGCATCGGCGATGGCATAGGCTTCTTCCAGTTCTTTGGTCTGTTCTGGACTAAGCCCTGAAGTGGAAGACATCTCGTCCCAATCACTCCATGCCCAAAACAAACCAGACGAGTCCTGTGAGTAGAACTCCCCGTCCTCAGCAAGCTCCCAGAACGAATAGCTTCCGTCTTCGTCCTGATGCCAGAAACCAGCCTCTGGAGACGAATGTGGGACCTCTTGAAGTCCGTGCTCGTACTTATCCCAGACCTGGAGATCTCTCAAAATGGCGTCACTGTCATCACTGTCGCCATCATCATCATCGTCGCGTCGCCCCTTAGAGCCTCCTTTTCGCGTCCAGCTAGACTCACCAGGGACTTCAGGATCGAAAGCTGGGCGCTCCTTATCATCCAATCCATCATCGTCCGCGGTGTGAGGGGCCGTCTCTGTCTGTGAATCGCCCTGAGTGGTCTCGCTGGCACGGCGCTGAAGCGTGGCCTGTGAGGAAGCCTTCTTTGGTGAGCTTGGAGACGAGGACCTCGAAGGGAGTCGTGGACCCGTGACGTCTGTCGTAGCAGGATGGCGCTTCTGATACTCCTCTCGGGCACGACTGAGGGCGACCTGGACACTTTTGTAAGTCTCTCGAAGTTGAGATGCCCAAGTACTCATTGACATCCCTGGCGCCCTTTTGAGACGGAGCATCAGCTCTTCGAGCCTGATGCCCACATCGGGCACTGGAGTGCGCCCGAGACGCTCCCGAAGGAACTCGAGAAGGTACACCACCCCCTCCCTTCTGACGAGCTTGTGGTGATCTATGTCATGGGTGATGGTCCACGCACGATCCCGGAGCTGAGCCACTATCGAGGGTCCAAGTTGCCGTCGCTTCTTACGGCTGGTGCGTTCGTAGAGAAGACGGACTCGGCGCACAAAGTCACTCCAGCCGGCGGGGTCTCCGTCCCATCGGCACTGGGACAAACCATTATCCTTGTCCATATGAAAAGGAAGAAAGTCGAGGGATCTGTGCAACTCCCGAACTTCCTCACAGAAACCGGGTGGCCCGGCTTCTCCAATCTCAAGCACTGATTGCCCAACAATTCGTCAAAGAGCACTGGATCGTGCTCCGCTACCAACGTTGGTAAGCGGATGGGCTCTCCTATAAATGTCGGGCCAATCAATGCCGGATGTCGACCAAAACTGAAGTGGATCGCGCTGTTGTCTCTTTTCTGCACCGCTTGTCTAAGACAATGATCCCGACAGTCGGATGTCGTATCCCAGGAGCCTCAGGCTCCTCGCAGTGTAGCCTATGGCTGCACGGTCGCAACTACGTAGCTTAGTCCTGAAAAGGATTTGAGGCCAAAGGAGCTCCTGGGATCAAGAACACTTCATGCACACACCTGAAGAGTGGAGCAATACTATACACATATGGACATGTCCTCTGACACCCAGTCGAGGAGCCGGGATGCGCCGGGCGCCGGTAAGTGCGAGCGTCAAGGCTACAGCACACGCAAGGTGGGAGTGTGAAGCATCTAATTCAACTCGAGATTCCCCATGCATCCCTTCGGGAAAAGAAAGCAGGACTGAGCTCTTAGTAAACATGTCAACCTGCTTATGACTTTTGGTTGAGTTTTGATATTCAATGCTTCGGATGCTATATCACACAGAATGTGATGTA